TAAAAATTATAATTATCTTGAATATATTTATTTTTAAATTTGATTAAAGTATTATCTTTGTGGTAATTAATGTTACAAACATTGAAAAACATCAGAGCTGTGACGTGTAACATTCCTCGCAAAAAACTACAGACAATTTACTTTTCTTTATTGTTTTAAACCTAAGTACTCTTCATTATCAACGATAAATGATAACACTTTTATGAAGAGTTGTATTATTACATGTCTGTGATGTATTCTAGCAACAAGGCAACAGTGATAATTTAAAACACTTATTATAGGGTTATAAAAAAAGCTATTATTTTCGCTTGTCACCGAGTAATAGAGACGAAGCAAAAATGAATTATAGAGCCATCAATAATGTTGAAGTTCCTTTAGAATAGGCTTCTATACGTTGTCATTAATGTTTACGATCCTATGATAGCCACCCTGAAAACAGATCTTTAACGTCCAATCATACTTAAATGTGCTTGTGGCGTTGGAATCCGATACGCGGTTTCGTTTTGCTACGCAGCTACGTAACGTAGCGAACATTATATTTTCGTAACGTAGTATAATATTCGCCGTAGAATGTCGAAGGGTTCGTAACGTAGTCAAATATCTATGAAAAACGTAGCGGAGTTTGCATAACGAAGTCAAATATCTATGAAAAAGGTAGCGGAGTTTGCGTAACGTAGTCAAATATCTATGAAAAAAGTAGCGGAGTTAGCGTAACGTAGTCAAATATCTATGTAAAACGTAGCGGAGTTAGCGTAACGTAGTCAAATATCTATGCAAAACGTAGCGGAGTCTGCGTAACGTAGTCAAATATCTATGAAAAACGTAGCGGAGTTTGCGTAACGTAGTCAAATATCTATGAAAAAAGTAGCGGAGTAAGCGTAACGTAGTCAAATATCTATGAAAAAAGTAACGGAGTTAGCATAAGTGTCGCCGCACACGGGCCACCAACCACAACCACAAAACGCCGCCACCGGCATATTTCTTATAGTTTTCATACATTTTATATAGACTCGCCACACACGGTACGCCGGTGGCCGCCACACGCTACAAATCGTCGTTGCTCGCTTCTTATGGCCTGCACCGGCCACTTAATGCGCCGATACAAAACGCCGCCACACGTCACTCGCGCGATTCCCCCCTCTCTCCCTTACCTTAGCCGGCCGCTGTCGTACGCTTCAGCCACTTTAGTAGCCGCTTCTAGCTTCTCGTGGCGGCGTTTGTGGCTGTGGCGTGTGGCCCGTGTGCGGCGACACTAACGCTCTTTTATATTCAGCAGTATGCCGCTCATGAACATGTTGTATGCAACATGTTCTCGAAAACACAGACCATTGGTTCAGCGAGGAGGGGCGTTCTCAAGTCACAGCCTTATTACTCAAAATCAAAAATCATTTATTCAGTCTTGGCTGTTACAAGCTATTGTAAAAGTCGAGAAGCTACGACATCAGTTCGCAAAATTACGGCGGGAGATCTTGTACTGGGCTGCTTTTTTCTCCCTGTACTATTATTACAGAGTCGTCAAGTTGAAAAATTACTTCAGAGATAATTCTCTAGTCACTTTCGATTATATAGTTAGAATATAGTTATATACTATAAGTTCTATAGTGAGCTTCATATTTTTAGTAGGTTACTATATAGGAAGCGGCTTCAGGATACCACATTATTGTTATGAAAAATGTCTAATACCATTACATTACAAGAAACACTATGTCCACGCATTACGATCATTAAGATAATCATTAATTTTATAATAGCCCAGCCCGTCATCACTTCAGCCGTGCGTTTCGAGACAAACACGCTTTTTTTATTATTTTCGATTTTAGGTTACATTTTTTTACATATCAGCCAAACTGCTATAACAGTTTAGCAGTAGTTCTTGTAGATTTAATCACTTTTTTTTTAGGGACTTTTGGACCAAAATATCCATACCAGCCCCATCGTAACCTAGATTTAATCACAAATACTTAAATATAACCAAATATACTTCTTTTAATATACACCGTGAGTTTTTTGTTACCTGAGAAACTTTACCAGCTAAGCCAGACAAAGATTCAGCTTATATTTCCGTGTTTTTTTTTATTCCATCATTTCGAAAAAAGGCTCCACGTTAACTCACAATTTCTGCAATTATGAAAGTAACAATTTTAATTGTTATAAATTGTTATAATTTTTATTATTTTAAAGCATGTAACTGCTTGATGTTTATATCTAAAGAAAATATAACTAGAAAAAATTCCACGCGGACCAGGCAGCAGACGGGACTCGAACCCGCACCCTTCGCAATCCGGGCGAATGCACTGACCAATTATGCTACCGCGGCCCTCGCGGATCGCGTCGAAATTCTTCTAGCCAGCCATTCTTAAGCTGCAAGGCAGCGCCATCTCTTCGCATTATAGATAACCCACAATGTCAAATGAATACTTTTACAAGTATTAAACATTTGAAGGAAGAAATAGCAATTGTAGTTATAATTTTTATTATTTTAAAGCATGTAACTGCTTGATGTTTAAATCTAAAGAAAATATAACTAGAAAAAAATCCACGCGGACCAGGCAGCAGACGGGGCTCGAACCCGCAAACCCTTCGCAATCCGGGCGAATGCACTGAAAGTTGCGGGTTCGAGTCCCATCTGCTGCCTGGAATTTTTTCTAGTTATATTTTCTTTATGTTATAAATTGATTCAAATAGAACTACTTTTCGGATCCGTGTAATTTAAACGGATAATATTAATTCCGTAACAGGAACGTTACTTAAAAATATCTTTATCTTTTTGTATGGGGGTGCAGTGCGTTTGCTGTTTATAACTGTTCGCAATATGTTGATTTACACGATTTTAAGATTCTCGCGTAATTCTCAAAATTCTCGGCTTTTAGGTAACATGTAAAAAAACTTTTCATATTTCTAGCTTCGAGATGAAGACAATATGTTTTGTCTTGTAACAGCTAATTTATCTAAAATTCTATTAGCGAACAAAAACTCCGGCAGGCTCTCTCTTTATTTGGCGAACGAACAACAAAACAAAAAAAATTGTGTGTGTCAGCTCCGACGCACGACTGGAGTTTACTCCTTAAGTTCGATAGTCTAACCAGACCCAAAAAGAGTTTATTTAACTTAAAAAAGATTGATACTGTATGAAAGGGTAAATTAACAAATTAATGAAAATAATATACATAAATAAATATATATTTATTCATTTCATATACATTTATTATAACTAATCGACGAAATATTTTACATTAAACTTTTTACAATAGTCAATTTCAGATGTGCATAAATATATCATTAGGAATGTTGATAAATTATGTAATTATTATTATCAGACTATTATCATTTTTTTAAATATTAATTAAATCAACATTGTCTGCATTAATAATTACAGTGACAAGTGGTTTATGGTTATTAATGTCAATCCATCGTCTTTGTTTGTCAAAGTTGTGCGACATAGGATGCGCACCAAAAACGTAACGAGGCCATTCATCGATAGATTTTACTCCTCACATTTTTCTTATACTGGGCCCCTTATATATGCAAATCGATTCTTAAGGAGTAAACTCCAAAAACAATTAGAAGAAAACATTCTTTACAAGGTTTAATTTATTCAAATTGTTTACAATATTCTCTATCTATAGCATACGTAAGAATCTGAGGTCTAAGCTTGAATTCATCATTTAAATCTAAATCCGCGTGGTTTTCTTCTTGTATTTTATTTACATTTAAACATCTAGCAGTTTAATACTTAAAAAATATAACTATAACTGCTATTTCTTCTTTCAAAGGTTTCATACTTGTAAAGGTATTCATTTGACATTGTGGGTTTCCTACAATGCGTGGAGATGACGCTGCCTTGTAAAGGTATTCATTTGACATTGTGGGTTTCCTACAATGCGTGGAGATGGCGCTGCCTTGCAGCCTAAGAAATACTAGAGAAAATTCGACACGGGCAATCAGGGCCGTGCTAGCATGATGGTCAGTGCATCCGCCGGAGTTTGCTACTCCACGTGGAATTTTTTCTAGTAAAATTTTCTTTAAAATCTATCTTTTCTAATCTATTATCCTGTATATTATATCCCTCAGAAAATAAGTAATGTCCGGTAGGCACGGGATCTTGGACTAAATGAATAATATGTTATTATAAACTTCGTTATATAGACTCTATGTTCTTTCGTTGCAAAAGAAATATATAAAGTGGTTAAATACAAATTAGGTTCCTCATATACATAATTGTTTATTAATTTAATTCTTTTGTAATTTTTATCTTTAAGACTGTATATTGCGATACCCTGACAGGGTTCATGTTAGGTACTATAAGCATTTCGTAACCATCTATGTAACCACATGAGTGCAATAAATTGAATTGAATTAAATTAAAATACAACTTACAAGTTTAGTATTGTTACAAGTTGACGACCTACGTGGTCGAGTGGTTTGTACGCCGGGTTTCATGGTGTCGCTGACTCGAGAGTTCCCGGGTTCGAATCCCGGTGGGGGTAGATGTTTGTGTGATGAATACGAGCATTTGTGCTCCAGTCATGGATGTTTAATCTTAATATATATAAATCTTGTGTCACAATGTTTGTCCTCAATGGACTCCTAAACCACTTAACCGATTATAATAAAATTCGCACACCAAGTGCAGTTCGATCCAACTTGAGAGATAGGATAGTTTAAATCTCAAATTATAGTCGCAATTTTAATTTATTGCAAATTATTACTTTTGGGCGGTACGAAGTTCGCCGAGTCAGCTAGTATTTCTATATAAATATACTTATATACGTACTGTATATGTATTTTATCCGTTACCCTAGCATCCCATAACACAAGCCTTACAGTGCTTACTTTGGGGCTAGGCTAATTGGTGTGAGTGTTGGATTTTTTTTTATTGTACAAAACAGAGCAGAGTGGGTTTCAATTAGTGAGCGGTGCGGCGGGGAAGCAAAGAAAAACTGTTCCGTGAAATCCTCATTTTGAACATTATGTTTCAGGTACAGTTGAGACGAGAGAAAATGAAGATGAAAAGGCGAGACTTGAAAAACATTATCCCTTGTACGTACTTTCCTATAATCTCTTATCTATTAGACAAGTCCGTCCGTCCGTCCGTGGTGCTGTTTCAGCGGCCAAACCGTAAGAGATAGATAGATAAAGAGAATGTTTAAGTTATAAGTTGAGAATAGTCTGATAAGACTACAAACCGGATGTGAGTAACGTAGCACTTCCGGTTTTCGAGAAATCACTTGATTTCTATTTCAAACGAAACCACACAAAATCTCCGAAGTTCTCAATTAATTAAATACATTTTTTTTTTGGTGAACATTTCGAGCCGTTACCGCCAAATTATCGTAAGCGAGAGTCGCTTACGATAATTTGGCGGTAACGGCTCGATTTGGTTCACTGGTTTGCTAGTTTTTGCTAATTTGATATTCTATTTTTATTCTTTCAGTAGAAGTCTGTTTATCAATTCTTTGTTTTCAACTCATAATATTGTCTTTTACCTTTTCATTGTTGTATTAATAAAACCCGTTTTTTGTAGTATTATATAATTATATTTCTCGATGTCCGATGACCTCTGTTTGTTTGTCTCCCTGTCAAATCGCTTTAAAGGGAGGTTCGAGAAATGGCAAAAAGCCACTTTTAGGGAGAGGAAGGAGGATTTTTGGGCACAACAGAATTCCCGCTTGAATAGGTTATTTGACAAGTTTTAGAAAACGATCTCGCGTTATTGACTAATGTTTACGGAGTCCGTAACAAGTGGATATTCATCATTCTATTGTGTATTTCAGTAAAAATAACCGTATCAAAAACTCCATTTTCAAGTTGCCGCGAAAACGTTTTTCTGGACAATATGGCATCTTACTAGTGTGTGACGACACACGACTGTTATTAAAACGTCAAACGATACAGTGTAATGTCACTTTAACCGGAAGTTTACTTGCGTGTGACGTCATTTTAGGCTCCGCCAATCCCAGGCGTTTTGGATCACGTGACAATAGATAAGAAAACTATTATCTTTAAAATTATGAATATTTTGTTTAGAAAAATAGTAAAAACCCCTGCCAATATTCATTCTAAACACAGATGCTAACAATTGGCACTTTATTTTTAATACTGTCAAATACCCTGTTAGAGCACCCGTCTGAGGTAGTAACCTCCACCTTACAGTAGACCGCAGTGAAATAACACTACTTTTTGGTGGTCTTCTGTTTCTGCTGGTGAATAAATAGGGTTCAAGGGCTTTTTTTTTTTATTCGGTAATAGGTAAGCGCTTGACCATAATTTGCCTGATGGAAAGCAATATTATGGTCTACGATGGAGCGCGCTTACTTAATAAAAACCGGTTCACTGTTGCTTTGAAGACCGCTAGATTGTAGTGCTCGGGGAACAAGGGCTCAGGCAAGGAATTCCACAGTTTGGCAGTCCGCACGATGAAGCTAGAAGCGAATCTCTCCTTTGCTTTCCATTTCCCTTGTTAGAAATGAGGAGCGGGCGAACAAAGCGGTATGATTACGCATCCGGTCAAACTACCTATTTTTACCAGTTCGGGGGGTTTGCTCCCGCTGAATTGGAATCTCAGTTAATTTTCAATCAAAACCTTCTAAAAAAATGTTAAAATTACTAAATTTATAAAGTGAAAAAACCACGCCAAAAGCTCTCTGTATTTATGTTATTCAGTTTTCTACAGCTCCTGTAAAATTTTGTTTTTTGAAGTGAAAACTTCTTTAGCGGCGTTGTACACTTTTTTGTATGGGTAAAGAATGTTAAACTCGCGTCAGGTTAGACACGTGGGCTGATCGCATCATGACACACAATAAAATTGGAAAGGTATATTTTACCGTATTATAAAAATAAGTCTCTATCTAGGACGTCCACGTGGCAGCTTTATTGCGAAGAAATGCATTTTTTTGACAATAGATGTCGCTAGGTGCGCTTAAATGTGATTCATGTAAGTTGATTTCTTTACAATAGATGTCGCTAGGTGCGCTTAAATGTGATTCATGTAAGTTGATTTTTCTGAGAGATAAACTTTTTTAAGGTAATATAAATTGTCATGTTTGTGTACGATAGCGCAATAAATAAATATTGTATTCTACCACATACATGATAGTACATTTTTACTGATAATTAAAGCAATTCGTGCAACATTATTCTTTAACCATTCCAAAATATCAAAAATGCATACCGTTAATATTCAAGTTTTCACTTCTGCCGGCACTCCCGGATTGCACCCCGTCGTTTATTATTTAATTATACCGTTTTGTTCACAACAGTTTCTCAATTATAATGATGCTTAAAAACTTTTGTTTCAGCTTCAAACAAACTAGAGGACTGGAGTTACAAGGGTAAGGAACCGCCAAGTATCATCGTAGTTACTGTGAGTGGGCCTTCCCGTACAGATTTCATTTATTTGGCTCAGCAACGGCGAAAATTACCTATTTCATATTCACGAACTTGGAATGCCAATTTGAAAAGCAATAATTAGGTCTTGCATTCGTAAGAGAGCCAGGGTGAATAGATTGCTTTGCGATATTTCATGAAATTAGATTTTATTATGTTGTTAATAACATCGTTATATTTTGCTTGTTGTCTTGTCTTTTGTATTCATCCGGGAGAAGTTTGGCGTTCTTTCCATTTCCGCAACGAAAATGAAAGACGACGAGTAACTTACGTTTACTTCCATTTCAATAAAAAAAAAACATGTCAATTATATATATTACTAGCTGTCCCAGCGAACTTCGTACAGCCATAAAAAATAGGGGTTGATGGTAGAAGCGTGAAAATTTAGGGTTGCATGTATTTTTGTATGATCATAAAAAAAATAAAAACAAATAATTTTTAAATCTAAAGAAAATATAAAATTCCACGTGGACCAGGCAGCAGATGGGACTCGAACCCGCACCCTTCGCAATCCGGGCGAATGCACTGACCAATTATGCTACAGCGGCCCTCACGGACCGCGTCGCTGCCTGGTCCGCGTGGATTTTTTTCTAGTTATATTTTCTTTAGATTTAAACATCAAGCAGTTACATGCTTTGAAAAAATAAAAATTATAATTTTAATTGCTATTTCTTCTTTCAAATGTTTAATACTTGTAAAAGTATTCATTTGACATTGTGGGCTACCTACAATGCAAAAAGATGGCGCTGCCTTGCAGCTTATGAATGGCTAGAGGAATTTCGACGCGGTCCGTGAGGGCCGCGGTCGCATAATTGGTCAGTGCATTCGCCCGGATTGCGATGGGTACGGGTTCGAGTCCCGTCTGCTGCCTGGTCCGCGTGGATTTTTTTCTAGTTATATTTTCTTTAGATTTAAACATCAAGCAGTTTCATGCTTTGAAAAAATAAAAATAATAACAAATAATTTTGTCTAAAAAAATTAAGGTTGGACCATTCTTAACATTTAGGGGGAGGAAAAAAGATGTTGTCCGATTCTTAGACCTACTGAATATGCATGTCGGAGGATGTGATGAATAGGGTTGATTGTTGAATGCCAAGCGTGAAAAGGCTATTGCTTACACTTTAAATAATTTTATAAAATCTTAATTTAATTTGATTTCAATTAATTAGAATTTTTGTATTGTTCAGTAACTTAGCAATTGAATAAAAGTCGCTAATAAATCATTTTATATCGCGTCCAATCAGAGCAGAGCACGTGCCTCGAGTGGGGTCGAGGCGCCATATTGATTTTCACAAGTGGGAGGTAGTTTTTGCGCATATTTAAAGGCGAGGAACAGATCGTAGCGGTCACACATTCTCGCTCCGACCGCGGACCGTGCGCCACGTCGCACCGCCGCCTCCCTGCTCCGTGCGCCCCGCCGCACAGCTGCCTGCTCCGAGTCGACTCGACGCGCCTGCGCTCATTCGTGAGACCCAAGATTGGACCAGTGGATACCTAGCGGTGTTAACGAAACTGGTCGGCGTAGCCCCGGTACGTCTCGAGCTCTCCTGAGCTCGGAAACCGGAAGACCCGATCCCATTTGCACTTGGGCCTTCCCAAGGGTGACGGTTGTTCCCATATTCACTAGGAATATCGGAACACATCTCTTTCAGCCTCAACCGACCCCCTGCCGCGGGCAGGGGAGTCCACCGCTGTCGTATAGGGAGTTAGGACCTGCGGCTTCACGCCACAGTCAGGGCACACCTACACACACATCACACAACAACCTACACAGACCTACACACTAACACATCACAAAATGGACATTACACAACAGGTACTGTCCCTCTTCTCCGCCCTCGGCCTCACCCTGGATGAGGCCGCCATCAGGGAGCTCGTCGCGAGAGCGCGCCCCATGCGCGACTCGCCCGCCAGCCCCTCCCCCGAACCCCCCCGCCCCGACACCCCCTGCCTCCCCGGGCCCTCGAGCGCGGGCAAGCGCCCCGCCTCGAGCCCGGTCTCGACCTGCGACTCTGACTCGACCATTGTGTCGGCGTCAGACGACTCCGTGTTCACCACTGTGGTGAGCAAGAAGAAGCGGCGCTCCAAGCGCCGCGCAGACACCGCGTCTCCAACGGCGCCCTCTGTCCCTCTCAGCCCTCTCACCCCTCTCACGGTCGCCCAACCGACCGCACAACCCCACACTACACACACCACAAAACAACACACTAGGTGCACCGCCGCACCTATCAAGGCAAAGCCGCCGCCGCCCGTCTTCCTGCGCGATAAGGCGCAATGGGCAAAGGTCGCGGACCTTTGCAAAACACACAGCATTCACTACACACAGGCGTCGAACACTGGTCACGCCATCAAAATCACCACACCCACAATCGACACATTTAGGAGCCTCACAAGGCTACTAACCACTCACACAATCCCTTACCACACATACGCCCTCCCCGAGGAGCGCAAAGTCCGCGCGGTACTCAGAGGAGTCCCCTTCGAGCTCTCCAACGAGCTCATTCTTAACGACTTAACCGATAAAGGCTTCCCAGCCGAGGCAGTGCACAAGTTGCACAGCCGGACTGGGAAGCAATACCCGTTGGCTCTTGTCATTTTGACCTCGGTCCCGGCAGCTAGGGACATTTTCAAAGGTCCCATCACAGTCTGTGGCCTCGACAATATCAAAGTCGAGGCCCCACACCGGCGAGGCACCCCTGGGCAATGCCACAGGTGCCAATTATATGGCCACGCAGCAGCCAACTGCTCGGCGGCCCCGAGGTGCGTCAAGTGCCTCGTACCCCACCTCACTAAGGAGTGCACCCGCACTCGTGACGCACCCGGGGCACCCGCATGCGTGCTGTGTGGCCAAGAAGGCCACCCGGCCAATTACAGGGGTTGCCCGCGGGCCCCACGCCCCAGGCCCAACACTCACACTCACACAAAGCCAACCACGGCTACAAAAACACACCCACCACCACCACCTAACACCACCACAAACTTCCCGGGGCTACCCAAGGCGGCCGCCCCTCGCAGCCCGGCGCCCCCGACAGCCTGGGGACCAGCCAGGGCCCGCCCAAAACCACACCCACCACAACACACCACACCAACAACACAAGCTAAGCCAGCCCAAGACGTTTCTCTGGCCGAGGACATGGCGCTTATTCGCTCCTCGCTCAAGAGGGTGAATATCGCCGAGATCCACACTCTCGCCGCGAAGCTCCGGCTAGCTAAAACACCACTTGAAAAGGCTATAGCTATAGCCGAACACCCCGAACTCGTTGCCGCGTTCGATTAATTTTTTCATTATAACACTGGAAAATAACCAGACTCCGAACACAAACAAAAACACTATACACAAAACACGCGGTGATAACTCAAACAAACACCACTGTTGTTTAAATTATGACCGCGCAAAACACTAACATAACAATCACACAACTGAACCCCGGGCGTACCAAGCCGAAAGGCGCTTCGCTTGTGTCATTTAATACGCGCAGCTTAAAATCCAACCTCAACGAAATTAAATTATTTTTGCAAGATAGGGAACCCGACTTTCTGCTCCTTCAGGAGACTTGGCTCAAACCAACTCAAATGAAGGGGCTGTCGATCCCTAAGTATAAATTAATCCGGAACGACGGTGCCAACGCGCGCGGCGGCACCGCAATTTACTATAGACGCAACCTACACTGCACACCTATACCCACTCCCGCGCTCACAAACATGGAAGCCACCATCTGTAGGCTGGCGATGACAGGACACCAGTCCTTAATCATCGCCTCAGTCTACATTAGATCAGGTACACACCCTCACCGCGCAGACTTCGAAACACTCACTTCATTAGGTACATCAGTCATAATGTTCGGTGACTTTAACTCCAAACACACCGACTGGACATGCGAGACCACCACCACCTCTGGCCGCAGATTACTACACATCACCGAGGAGCTTGGCTATGATGTCATATGTCCCTTCGCGCCCACCCACTACCCAGACAATGTACAAAACCGACCCGACGTCCTGGACTTCGCGATCCTTAAAAACGTGTCGCTTCGCCTCAGCTCGATCGAAACTCTCGACGACCTGGGGTCAGATCACAGACCGGTGTCTCTAGTTCTAGGTCCCCAAGACCCACTAGACGCCCCCGCGCCCCCTAAGAGGCTATTCACCAACTGGGACGGATACCGCTACGCTCTCGAGACCGCGTTAGACTCCCCCGAGTCCCCGTTCCCTAACTCACCGGACAGTCTCGACAGCACCGACAAGATTGACGAAACTATAGAGTCTTTAACTTTACTGGTGACCGAGAAGGCGAAGGAGAACTCGCGGGAGGTTGAGCTGCCAAAGCCCAAGCTCCCGCTGGCCATCCGGAACCTAATCCAAGCCAAAAACGCCGCTCTCCGGAGAGCCAAATTATACCCCACCCCCGAGTATAGGGCTACAGCTAATCGCCTTCAGCGACAAGTTAGGTCCCAATTAGCCGCTCTGAGACACTCCCGTTGGGAGGAACTCATGGCGGACATTACCCCATCCCATCTTGCGTACTATAGAATCGCGAAAGCGCTCCGTAGCGACGTCACCACTCACACCCCCCCGCTCACTCGCCCCGACGGCACCGTCGCCTTCGAAGACGACGAAAAATCTGAGTGTTTTGCAGACAGCATAGCGGCGCAATGCACGCCTAGTACGCAGGAAACTAACCCGCAACATATTCGCGGAGTGGAGGAGGAGGTCCGCCGGCGGGCCGCCCTTCCACTCACTGACAACCCCCTAGACCCCGTCACGACAGACGAACTCAGACAGACCATTAGAAATTTTAAGCAACGCAAGGCCCCGGGCGCCGACGGCATCTCTAATAAGGCGCTCAAGCATTTTCCCATCCAAATGCTAACCTTGCTTGCAATTCTCTTTAACGCATGTTTTGATCTGTGCTACTTCCCAGCCGCCTGGAAAGAAGCAATAGTGA